GTGTGTGTGTGTGTGTGTGTGTGTGTGTGTGTGTGTGTGTGTGTGTGTGTGTGTGTGTGTGCCCGCGCGTGCTGATATTTTTCTTACACCTCTCTTGCAAACATAAACAATGCTGAAAACCTACACATTTCAGTTTCGTTGAAAAGAAGAAAAAAAAACTCTCACTATTCAGTGAGGCTAAATATAAGGATCGTGCTGTTCCACATTCTCAATTTTCTTCCTGTTACAGTGCTCCACCGTGTAAAATTGTGATCTCGGAGCCCATGAGGGTAGACATACCGGTAGTATAGAGAGTTGTGCTTTTCTGGGGTGTGTCTTCTTTTCTTGGATAATCGTCACTGACTGGACAGGGAAATTTGAAGATTTCTATCTGTGCTACACTCGTAATTGTGAATCGTTTTATGCCCACAAATGCGTTTATGCACTTGCGGGTGTGTGATTTGTTGTGATCGAGTGGCAGATGATTTCCATGATATTGCTGTGAATAAACAATAGAAACACGGGTGGTTTGAAGGCGTCATAATATGGGTAGGTTCTACTTCAGTAACGTTCTTAATCCTACTTTAAAAAAATTTCTTCTGCTATTTCTGTCTATCTGTCTTACTTTTTCCCAACACTAAATGAGCAATATTGTGTCAATGTGATTCTCTTTTCTCTAACAAGTAAACAAACAATAAAAAATATATAAGGGCAGTGCTACTGGCTGAAGTGTCTTTAGGCCATTCCAAAAGGGGGGATATTAACATGTTTTTATGCTCAGTAGATTTGTAAATGGGCTGATTTGTCAATGCCTGTCTCATACTGTGCCTGAACAACATAGAGTGGTTGGCAGGTGTTCTGGTGTGGTTTGCTCCTTCTTCCTTATCAAACATCTATCGTTCTTGTCTGTTCTCCTGTTTTGTGTTTGTCACTCTCTTGTAACATCTCTAATCTTCGCATATCTAATCTTCGTCCTTACCCCTCCCCATATTTGTCTTTCAATGTTACTCTCTAGCATCTTGGACGCTTACACACGCGCACTCACACACACACACACACACACACACACACACACACACACACACACACACAC